TCTTCTCTCTATCTCTATCTCTATCTCTCTCTCTCTCTCTCTCTCTCTCTCTCTCTCTCTCTCTCTCTCTCTCTCTCTCTCTCTCTCTCTCTTAAACCTTAATTATTGAACCAAAAATGACTTTTTCCCCTGAGTATTCTAACAACTGTTAAGTAAGGAATTCTTCGTTATCATAAGTAAAGAGAGGAAATTATTATATTACTTCTCGAAATTAAAACGATTAACGTGTAAATTATGGAAAAGAATTATGTATCTCGCTATATCTGGTATCTCGTAGCGCATTCTCATTGGCTAAACGAGAGGACATTATAGCTCCATTATTTTGACCTTTTTTCAATATTTTATGGGAAGTGTTTTTATTGTGCATTTTCTTTTGAAATTGTTTAATTATAACTATGTTAAACAAATCTTGATAACGAAACCAAGAAAAAAAGTTTGACATTTGCTATGAATAAAGACAAAGAGGCGGGGCTTAGCTTGGAAGTTGCCAACTAGGATATTAATCAACGCGGAGTGGAGCTACCTGTTTTTAAACTACCTTGGTTTACCTTAATCTCTGTCCTCCCTTTCCTTCCTTTCCCTTTACCTTAACCGCTTCCCCCTCTCTGATTCCCTTCCCTTTCCCTCTCTTCCCCTCTTCCCACCTCTCTCCCCTTACCTTAACCACATTTCCCTCCTCTCATTCCCTTCCACTTTCCCTATCCTCCCCTCTTCCCTTACGCACCCATTCATCCCCTTACCTTAACCACAACTCCCTCCTCTCATTTCCCTTCCCTTCCCCTCTCCTCCCTCCTCCCTTACCCACTCTTTAATCCCCTCACCTTAATCTCTCTCTCTCTCATTCCCTTCCCTTTCCCCTCTCCCTCCCTCCTCCCTTACCTACCCAATTCTCCCCTCACCTTAACCTCTCTCTCCTCTCATTCCCTTCCCCTTTCCCCTCTACCTCCCTCCTCCCTACGCACCCATTCATCCCCTTACCTTAACCCCTCTCTCCTCTCATTCCCTTCCCTTTCCCCTCTCCCTCCCTCCTCCCTTACCTACCGAATTCTCCCCTCACCTTAACCCCTCTCTCCCCTCTGTCTTTCCCCAGATCGTAAATGCAACAGAAACCTCACTTACCGTTGCCTGGACACCGAGCTACGAAGAGGGGACACCTGAGGGGTACACGCTGCAGTACAGGGCGGAGGGCACGAGGAAGTTTCAGGGTAAGTGAGGGGAGAGGGACGGGAAGGAGGGAGATGGAGAGGAAGGGAGGGAGGTAGGGGGGAGGCGGGAAGGAGGGAGAGGTTGTGGGAGGCGGGAAGGAGGGGGAAGGGAGGAGGGAGAGGGAGGGAGGTAGGGGGAGACTAGGGAGTGGGAGGCGGGAAGAGGGAAGGAGAGGAGGGTAGGGAGAGATTAGGGAGTGGGAGAGGGAGGGTGGGAGGCGGGAAGGAGGGAGATGGAGAGGTAGGAGGTATGGAGAGACTAGGGAGTGAGAGAGGTAGTGGGAGGCGGGAAGAAGGAGAGGAGGGAGGTAGGGAGAGACTAGGGAGAGGGAGAGGTAGTTGGAAGCGGGAAGGAGGGAGGGATGGAGGTAGGAGAGACTAGGGAGTGGAGAGGGAGGGAAGGAGGGAGATGGAGAGGTAGGGAGGTAGGGAGAGACTAGGGAGTGGGAGGCGGGAAGGAGGGAGGTGGGAGAGTAGGGAGAGGGAGAGGAGAGAGAAGGAGGATATAAGGAGTGGGAGAGGTAGTGGGAGGCGGGGGAGAGTAGGAGAGAGAAGGAGCAGGAGAGGGAAGGAAGTAGGGAGAGAGAAGGAGCAAGGAGAGGGAAGAAGTAGGGAGAGAGAGGGAGAGTAGGGAGAGGGAGAGGAAGGGAGGGAAGGGGTAAAAGAAAGGGAAAGGAGAGAGAAATGAAGGGTGGGTGTATACATATATTTATTTATTGATCTTTTTATCTCGATGTGTGTGTGTGTGTGTATATGTCAGTTGTGTGTGTGTGTGTGTGTTGTGTGTGTGTGTGTGTGTTGTGTGTGTGTGTGTGTGTGTGTGTGTGTGTGTATGTGTGTGTGTGTGTGTGTGCATATATTGCTCTCATCATCGTCAGTTCTTCTATCTCCTTCTCTCCTCTTTATTCTCATTATCCTCCTTATCCTCTTATCCTCCTTATCCTGACCCTTCGGCCTCTCCCCCAGAGCCTGGAGATCGAGGGCGGAGACACCACGGAGGCGACGCTGACCGGGTTGTCCTCGGCCACGGAGTACAAGGTCGTCCTCAAGGCCAAGAACGACCACGGGGGAGTCCGGACCACCTGGCTATTACGACCAGGACCCGGGTAGGTGGGAGGAAGCAGGGGAGGGGGAGGGATGTATGATGTGGAGTGGGGTGGGGTGGGGTGGGGTGGGAGTGAAATGTGTGTGCTTTGATTGTTTATTTGTTTGTGTGTGCGTGTTTGTTGTTTGGGTGTGTTTGTTTCCTTGTTTGCTTGTTTGTGCGTCTGTGCGTGTGTGTGTGTTTATTTGTTTGTGTGTATGTGTGTGTTAAGAGTTAAAGGTGTGTGTTTGTGTATTTGAGTGTATGGAAAGTCGTGTGCGTGTATATGATGTGCTTTGTGTTTGTAGTATTTATTTTTGTTGTTTTTTTGTAATCTTTTCCATTTTATTTTTGTTGTCATTATCGTTATCTTCTTGTTTCTTGGTATTTGTAGTCATTTTTGTTATTACTCTAATCATATTTTTATTGTTATCATTGTTATCTATATTCTTGTTGCTCTCATAGCTGTTATCTTCATTATGTGTGACAAATTATTATCTTTTATCTGATTAACTTTTTCAATTTGTTTTACCTTTCCCTTTTTTCCCTTCTCTCCTTTTCGCTATCCTTTTCCCTACCTTCCCTCTTCCCTTATTTCACTATCTCCCTTCTTTCTTCATTCTCCATTCCCTCTTTCTCTTTCCTCTCTACTTATTCTCCCCCGTCTCCTCTCCCTTTCTTCGTTTTCCTTCTTCCCTCCTCCTACAAATCTCCTTTTCCTCTCTCCTTTCATCCATTTCATCCTTATTCAATCCCTCTTTTCCACTCATTCTTTCCCCTCTTTTCCCCATCCCTGTCCATTTATCTCCTCCCCTACTTTCTCACCCCCTCCCCTTCTTCTCTTTCCCTCTCCCCACCACTTTCATCCATCTTTTCTCTTCCTCTTTTCGCTCTGATCCTCTTCTCACTTCCCTCCCCTCCTTCTCATTGGCTTTTTTCCTCGTCTTACCTTCTCCCCTTCCATTCTACTTTCTTCTCCTCTTCCTTCTTTCTCAATAACTGTCTCCCATTCCCCATCTTTGTTTCTCCATCTCCTCTCTATCCCCTCCTCTACTCTCTCACACCCTTCATTCTTCCCTTTCCTTCTCTTCATCACTTTCCTTCATCTCCTCTTTCGTCCCCCTCCTCTCTTTCCCTTTCCTTCTCTCCACCATTTTCTTCCATCTCCTTTTTCGTCCCTCTGCTCTCTCACCCTTCCCCTCTTCCTCTTCCCTCTCCCCACCACTTCCCTCCATTTCCCCTCTTTCGTTCTCTCCTCTCTTCCACTTTACTCTTTCGTCTCTCTGCTCCTCTCACCCTTCCTTCTCCCCCTTCCCTCTCCTCACAACTTTCCTCCATCTCCCCTCTGTTTCCTCCCTTTCTCTCTTCCCCCTTCCCCTCCTCCCCTTTCCCTCTCCCCACCACTTTCCTCCATCTCCCCCTGTTTCCTCCCCTTCCCCTCCCCCTCCCCCTTCCCTCTCCCCACCACTTCCCTCCATCACCCATTCCCTCCCTCACAACCTTCCTCCACCTCCCCCCTGTTTCCTCCCCTTCCCCCCCTCCCCCTTCCCTCGCCTCACCACTTCCCTCCCCCTCCTCCCTCCTCCCTCCTCCCTCCTCCCCACCACTTCCCTCCACCTCCCCTCCTCCTCCTCCCTCCCCCTCCTCCCTCCTCCCTCCCCTCCTCCCTTCTCCCTCCCCCTCCTCCTCCTCCCTCCTCCCCTCACAACCTTCCTCCATCTCCCCCTGTTCCTCCCTTCCCCGTTTCCCCCCTCCTCCCCCCACAACTTTCCTCCACCTCCACCTCCCCCTCCTCCTTCCTCCTCCTCCCCTCCCCATCCCTCCTCCCTCCCCCCCCCACCCACCCTCCCCTCCCACAGGACGCGGCGGCGACAAGGGAAGCCCCGCCCCCCGCAAGACCCGGATGGTGTTCGTCCTCATGACCCTCTGCGGCCTCGTCCTCCTCGTCCTCAACGTCGTCATCATCGCCTGCATCTTCCGTCGCCGCAGGAGGAGGATGCTGAGGGGTGAGGCCTTGGTGGGGGGGAGAGGGAGGGTGAGAGGGGGAGGGGAGGGGTGAGGCCTTGGTGGGGGGTGGGGGGAGGGGGGGGGAGAGGGGGAGGGGGGAGAGAAAGGGTGCTGGGGAGGGGGGAGAGAGAGGGTTGGGGGAGGGGAGGGGGAGGAGAGAGAGAAAGGGTTGGGGGAGGGGAGGGGAGGGGAGAGAAAGTAGTTGGGGGAGGGGAGGGGAGGCTGCTGAGGGGTGAGTCCTTGGTGGGGGAGAGGGGGGGTGAGGGGAGGAGGGATGAGTTTTAGGGGGAGTGGGTTGGGGGGGAGGGGAGAGGGTGAAGGGTAGGGGTTAGGGAAGGAGGGTGAGTCCTTGGTGGGGAGAGGGGGAGGAGGGTTAGGGAAGGAGGGATGAGTTTTAGGGGAGTGGGGGGGAAAGGGTTGGGGGGAGGGGAGGGAAGGAGGGTGAGTCTTATTGGGGAGGGGGGGAGGATTAGGGAAGGAGGGGTGAGTTTTAGGTGGAGTGGGTTGGGGGAGGGGAATGAGGGGGGAGTTATTGGAGGGGAAGAGGGTAGGGAGAGGTGAAGGGGTTGGGGAGGGGAAGGGATTGGGGAGAGGGAGGGAGAGGAAGGAGGGATGAGTTTTAGGGGGGGAAGGGGAAAGGGGAGGGGAAGGAGTGGTGAGGTTTAGGGGAGAGGGGTGGGAAGTGAGGGGAAGGGGGGATGAGTGCATGGGGGGGTCATGGGTGTGGGAAGGGGTAGGTGTTGGGGGGAAGGAGGAGGGCTACTTGACCGGGGGGGGGGGGGCGTGAGAGGTTTTTCTGGGAGGGGAGGGGAAGAGTACGGGGGGGGAGGAGGATTTTAATTTTAATCGTAAAACCGATTAAATACTTCTCTTACATTTGAGGGAAGGCTAGAGGGATCCTTAAAGGGGGGGGGGGAGTTGGGAGGGGATTAGAGGGTGAATGTGAGATAGGGGGAGGAGGGTTGGAGAGGGAGGGGGAAGAAGGGAGAGAGGAATTGTTGTTAGTATTATCATTTTCACTATTATTATTATTGTTAATGTTATTGGTATTATCATTAAATTCCTTATTAGGAGTAGTAGCAGTAGTAAGGGTGTAAGCAGTATCATGATCATCATCATCACCATCATTATCATTTTAATCATCATCATTACCGTCCTTATTATATTCATCAGTATCATTACCATCATCATTACTGTAATTATCAATAATGACAAAGTTAGTTTTATCTCTATGGTTAGTGTTTTATAGCTACTATTAATGTTCTGTTGTTCGTATCGTCATCACCACCACAGTCACCACCACGCGAAATCACGCCTCTATCGCCATTATTATTATCTGTATCATCATCACTACCACTTACATCACCATAAAGATTATTGATACCATCACCACATCTTTATTATCATCACTAGCATTATTATCACTGCTACCCTTATCACTGCCACCATTATCACTATTATCATCACCACCACTTGACCACACCCACTATCACCACCACCATACCACCCCCACATCCACCCAACCCCCTAACCCCCAATCCAAAATAACCCCCCCCCTCAAAAAAATAATAATAATAACCCGCCCCCCTCCCTCCCTCCCTCCCCAGCATCTTCAAGGACGAAAGCCAAGTCCGAAACGCCGGTGACCTGTGATGACACGGACGGCTTCCTGCCCCTCAAGACCCGCACGCCTTCGGGGTCAGCTCAGTGCCAGGTCGGTGGAGGTCACTTCTGTTTTTGTTGTTTTTTCCCATCTCTTGTTTCTTCGGTCTTTGTTTTTTTTTCTCTTGAAGTACTTGAAGTCCTCTTTTATCTGCTTCCTCCTCTTTCATCCTCTTCCTACTTTTTTCTGTTCTTCTTTCACCATGATGATGATAATAGTAATAATGATGGTAATAATAATAATAATAATAATAATAATAATAATAGAATGATAATGATAATAATAAGAGTAATGTTAATAACGGGTCCCCTTTCGCGCTCAGGGCGACTGCCACGATGGCGCCGAGGACTGCGAGCACACGAGCCTGATGGGAGCAGGGCGCCCCCAGCGGCTCCTCCGCCAGAGCCTCGCACCGTCAGTCCGCCGGCCCCTCCCTGGGGAAGACGCCGCCCAGGGAGGACGCGAATCTGCCCCAGAACGGCGGCGTCCCCTCCAAGAAGTCCCCGGCCAGAGAGCGACGTCGGAAGGGGCGCTCGGCGCAGCGCGACGTCTCTCCCGACGCCCGCGGCGAGGAGGAGTGCTGTCCCGCGTCCTCCGTCCCTCTCCCGACTCCTCCGGCGGCGCTCTACGGGAACCTCGACGCCGCCGCGCACGTGCTGCCCTTCGCCGCCCCGCGACACGTGCACAGCCACACGCACAGCTGCATCATCCACAGCCCGCAGGATCAGCCCCCGCACCTCCACGCGCCCGTGTTCATCCCCAGCGTCTACGACGGGCGGGACTTCGCCCACACGCTCCCGGGGCGCCAGTACGTGTGCCGCGACCACCAGAGGCGCCCGCCCCAGGGGCACGGGCAGCAGGACGGTCACCATGAGTGCCAGGCACAGTCTCCCAAGGCGTATCACCAGGGACCGCATCAGCCGTACCAGGGAGAATACCAGGCGCGTCCAATGCAGCACAGGGGGTACCAAGAACAGCGCGCAGCATACCAGGGGCAGCAGGAAGCATACCAGCGGCAGCACCAGGCGCGCAGTACCAAGCACAGCCGGACGCGCAGCAACAGCAGGCACACGTGGACGACAGCCCTTCGCGTCAGAGGCCCCGCCTTCCCCGGGACGGACCAGCTGCTCAACAGACGTACTTGGATGCGTACGGACTGGAGGGCACGGGCGGCGCGCCCCTGGAAGACCCCGCTGCCCAGTATCCCGCTGAAGGTCTGTGGTTTATGTAGATACGGATTAGGAACACCGAAGAAGATGGAGAGGGAGAGACAAAGAGAGAGAGAGAGAGAGAGAAAAAGAGAAATTGAGAGAGAGAGAGAGGGAAGGGGGGTGGGGTAGTAGGGAGAGAGATTAGCAATACCTCTGTCAGATGTATTCGCAGAAAACTTGAATAACTTTCATCATTTGAGAGGCTTCTCACCAACAGTCGCACTTTGTCCGCAGGGGGCCCAGTTACCGTGCTAACGGAGGAGGACCAGACGTCTTCCTTCCTGGAGACCCTGCAGCGCCCTCCGGAGGCCTTCGCGGACCCGACGTCCTTCGACCACCCAGTCTACTTCCTTCCGCATCATCCTGAGGGCCACGGTCCTCCCCTTCCTTCCCCTGCGCTCCCCCGAGGGACGGGCGGCATGGCCTCCCGCCCTTGCCCCTCGATGCCAGCCCCTCTCCCCTTGCCCTACTCGCACCAGCACACGCCGGCGCCCTTTGACCAGGATCGCCCGCCCTCCTCCGGCCGAAGTCCTAGCCAGAGCCGCCCTCCGCCACCCAGCCCAGGCCACCGCCACCCCACGCCGCCCACCCCAGGTCCCAGCACCCACCCCCAGCCCAGGCCACCGCCACTCCACGCCGCCCAGTCCCCGAGATTCTCGCCGCCCATCCCCGCCCACGCCAAAGACGCCCACCTCGAGGCGGCCGTCCCCGAGTGCGAAGAGCAGGCGCGCCCAGCAGCCGCCCGACAGCCCGAGCCAGGCGCCGCGCCCACCGCCCGCCGCGGGACCGAGCCGCCCGCCGCCCAGCCCCAAGCAGCGCGCCCAGCCCCTGCGCGTGGCCCCAGCCCGACGGTCGAGCGGCGGCGGCTGCCCCTCGCGTCCAGCAGCAGCTGTTCCGCTCCAAGGTGGCCTTCAAGCGGGGTCCCTCGCCCCTCCGCCGCCCCCACCGCCCCCGCCTCCTTCGGCGCAGTTCGCGAGACGCCCGCGCTTCCCGACGACTTCCTGTGGCAGCGAGGGGTGGGCAGGACGCCGGGGCAGGAGGGGACGGACGCCGTCGAGGGAGGACCAAACACGACCAACAGAACCAGATGAAAGCAAACTCAGTCGGTCTTGTATATTGTATTTGAAGTATGAATGTCCAACATGGATTCTTATCCATAAAACAAAAAACGAAAAAAAAAAAACTGGAATATTGCCTTCACCTTTACAGAACACATTAAACAAACAATAAGATAAGAAAAAAATGACACTGGATATCCTCCTCTTTTACAATCCTTAAAAAAGAAATGTATGGGGATAATACTTCATGCTTTTTACACTGTCCTTTCATTCTGACCAACTGAACAGCTCGTTAGCTTGTTTCACGGAAGGAATAGTGGAATAAGTTAGATACCCCTTTAATTCCCATTTTCCTCATAAAAAGTATTTTCTTCGGGGTAACAATGATAAACTTAACTCGGACGGAGAGCCTGCAGATAATTTGATATACTGTACAATACTTGGTATTATACATGGAATTTATGATAAAACGTATGGTAATGTTTTAAACAGTCAATAGGTTATCGTAAATGAAAGAGAATGTCACGAGTGTCACTTATCAAACTGTTAGTATTAACTAAAATGATTCTATGAAGATTCAAGTCCCTTTGTCGAAAGTGGCATTGAAACGAATCTAAAAGAATCGTTTTTCATTCTTTTTCATCTACAGCGGCGGTTACGTTGAGCAGATTTCGATATGATTACTACCATTAAAGAAAATAAATTATCTCTATCATAAGCAAATCATACATTAATCAAAACGCTGCATTTACACATAATATGAATATTGGGAAAACAGAAAAAACAAAAATGGAAGGAAATAGAATCACATAATTATGACAGACTGATGTATCACTTCTACTTTCAACAACATGATGATAATGATAATAACATTACTAGTGATAATAATAGCGATAATGATAATATTAGCATAAATACATTAATGATAATAGTAGCAAAATTAAAGTAATATATATTGTTATCATTATTACTATTACTATTATTATTATTATTTTCATTTTCATTTTCATTATCATCATTATAATTATTATCATTTTCATTATCATGATTATTATCATTGTTAACATAATTTTTGTTATTATCATCATTACTATTATCATTATTATTATCATCACTATTACTATCATCATTAATATGATTATTGTTATCAATATCATTATCATTATAATCATTCTTTTATCATTATCATTATCACTATTATTATCATCATAATCATTATTAAAACCATTATTACTACCATTACTATTATTATCATTATTATCAATAATATTATCATTTTTATCATCATTATTATCATTCTTACTATTACTATTATTATTAATATTATTATCATTATCATCACCATCGTCATCAATATCATTACCACTACTATTGTCATCATAAAAATTATCGTAGGAATACTAAAAACAATGAGAATAATAACAATTTTATTAATGACAATAATCATGATAGTAATAAAAATGATTATAACGATAATAACACTAGTAATAATGATAATTGCCATGATGATGATGATAATAGTAATAATCATAATGATGATGATAATGATCATAATAATAATAATGATAATAATAACATAATGATAATAACGATAATAATAACATAATGATAATAACGATAATAATAATACTAATAGAAATAACATCATAATACTAATTTAATAACAGACGTAATAATAACAACTAATGTTAATGATGATCATGATTATTACAATCATAATGATAACAATACAGTTGTGGTAATAATATTGACAATCATGATAATGATAATATCACTAATAATGATGGCAATAACAATAATAATGATAGTAAAACAATCCTACTACTACTACTACACTCTGATAATAATAATAATAATGATGATGACAATAATAATGCTATTAACAGCTGTATTAACATTGATGATGGTGATGATGATAATAATGAAAGTAATGATGATAACGACAATAGTAATAACAATAATAATAATAATAAAACTAATGAAAGTAATAGTACAGTCCTGCTAGTTATGATCATGACAATCATGGTAATACTACTACTAATAAAGAAATGAAGATGATAATCATGATAAAGAAAGACAATGACAATAATAGTAAAAGTAATAAAGATAATGATAATGATCGTGAAAATTATGATAATTTTGATAATGTCAATTTTAATAATAATGATAATTGTGATAGCAATAATAATAATAATGAAAAATAATATCTATGCTGGTGATGATGAAAATAATAAAAATGATTATAATAATGATAGGAATAATGAAAATTAATTAGTAAAAATAGTGATGATAATGATGATATCAATAATGATAATCATAATAAAAATAATGATAATAACAACAATGTTACTGATAATAGTAATATAAATGAAAATAAATTATAGATGATAACTGTAATAATATCGATAATAAGGATAATGATGAGAAGGATGTGATTATGATAATAATATTGATAATGATAATAATAATTGTGATGATCAAAATAATAATGATGATAATAATCATGATAATATAATGATAGTGATATTGGTAATAATGATAATAATAATAATAGTAATAGTAATGAATATAATTATAATAGTAGACGTATTAATGATGATGATAATAATACTTATTATTATCATCATTATCATGATAATAATGATAATAACGATAATATAATATATTATTGATAATGATGATAAAGATGATGATGATGTGATGATGATGATATTAATAAGGATAATAATACATACTGAAAACAATGATAATGATGTTGATAATAATCATAGCAATAAGGATAATGATAAAAATAATTAAAAAATAATAATAATGATCATAATAAAGATGATGATGCGATGATTATGAAGATGATGATAATGAAAAAATAATGATGATAAAAATCATAACAAGAATAAAAATGATAATAACAAAAGATTGTATATATTGATAGAGATAATAAAAGTAAGGATAATAACAATGATGATGATGATGATGATAATGATAATAATGCTAAAAATGTGATGATAAATAATGATAATGCTAAAAATTATAATAATAATAATATAATGATAGATAATTATTAACACTAAACTTGTCTCTTCTATTTTCTCTTTATTTTCTTAAATTTTGTTTTCCTAAACATATATATCTTATCTATCTATCTATATATTATTATATATATATTATATATATATATATATATTATATGTATATATATATTATATATATATATTATATATCCGACTTTTCAAAAATACACACCACATTTTGGCCCAAAATCTGTTTGTTCATCGCATTCCTACAAATATCTTTTTTCTACAAAAAACAAAGAAACAAAACAAAATATATGCAACA